CTGCTCTCACTAAGCCTAGAGAGCAGCCAGAGCTGAAAATTTGGGATCTTCTCAGGTCTTTGCTGAGTATGTTTCCTGCCTTAGGAGTGCACGTGGCTTTCTAAATTCCTCAGTATACACAGGCACCTTTGCGTGCCCTGATTTCCCAAACAAACTTTTTCCCCAGGCTTTTGATGCCCTATTGTATCCTTCGACCATAGTTTTTTCTTCCACATGACTGCAGGTTGTTCATTTGCATTATAATGTTTTCTAGGAATGCCTGGCTTTTCTGCCCAGAGTGATTTCCAAGTTAGGTGTAACAAAGACAAGTGCTTCAGGTAGCCCCTGGACAGATTAGAACAGACAGACACAATTCTTTGTAAATGAGGACTGCTCTCATCCCTCTGGAGCCAGGGACCAGGGTCCCATACTGGGAACATGGGCTGCCATCTTCAAGACCTCCGTGAGCTAGGCAGTGGGTGGGGCAAGAGCAAATGAAAATGCCATAAAGCTCTCCTGTTGTTTTTAAATTACCATTTCCTTGATTCTGTGTTTACCTGTGTGCTATAAGCTTTTGACATTTCCCAGAGGTCTGACAAAATTCATTCTAACAGTTTCTGCTTGATTTTTCAATGTTTCTGTGGAGGGATGGGCCTTTTTTGCTCCCTGCTCTGCTGTTTTTGCTGGTGTCACTCTTCTCCTTCATTTTTGAAGCATAATTTGCTGGATATTGACATGTTGGTCAACAGTCTTTATCTTGCATCACTTTGAATATCTCCAGCCATTACTCTCTGACAATTATTTTTATTGAGGATCCCTGGTCTGTAAGGAATCATTTTTCTCTCTCTGTTTTTACAATTCTCTTTTTGTTTGGCTTTTAGCACTTTGATTTTGATGTATCTAAGTGTGGACTACTTTGAATTTGTCTCAGTTGGAGTTCTTTGAGCTTCTAGGATGTGTAGATCAGTGTTTTTCATCACATTTGAGAAGTTTAGAAACATTATTTTCCAAACATTTGTTCTGCTTCTTTCTCTTCTCTCCTTCTGGGACTCCCATTGTGCCTGCATGTATTGTATGCTTGATAGTATCTCACAAGTTTCTGGAGTTCTCTTCAATTTTCTTCATTCTTTTTTTTTCTTTTCCTCAGAAATTGGTAATCTCAATTGACCTGTCTTCAAGTTCACTCATTCTTCTGCCAGCTCAAATCTACTGTTGAGCTCCTCTGGTAATTTTTCATTTCAGTTATTATACTTTTCAAATCAGGATTTCTATTTGGTTCTTTTTTATAATTTCTGTCTCTTTATTGATATTGTCTGTTTGTTGTGGCATTGTTGTCATACTTTCTTTTAATTTTTAAGGTACTATTTCTTTAGTTCTTTGAACATATTTGTGATAGCTGATGTAAAGTCTTTGTCTGGTACATCCAATATATCTTCCTTCTTTCCTGAGGACAGTTCCTTTTGACTGTTTTTTTCCCCTGTGTATAGGCTGTACATTTCTGTCTATTGTGTGTCTTGTAATTTTTTTGAAAACTGATATTTTAGATAATATAATATGGAGAATCTGGAAATTAGATCCCCCTATCCTGCAAGGGTTTGTTGTTGTTGCTGCATTTTTGTTTGTTTTTTTTTCTTTTTTTGTCTGTCTTTCTGTTTAATCACTTTCCTGGACTAATTCTGTAAAATTTATATCTCCTATAGTGTGCGGCCACTGAAGTCTCTGCTCAGGTAGCTAGCTTAGTGGTCAGCTAACAATTAGTCAGAGCCCTCTTTAAATGTCTTGAATGAAGGAGTCTTTCACCCTTTGCTGAGGGGCTCTGTGTGTGTGTTGGGCATGACTTCAACACTTGGGTGGTTTGCAACTCTGCTTTAGCCTTCAGCTTGAACAGGGCCTCAAGTTCAGCTAGAGGAGAAAAACTGGAGCAGTCTCAAGTGTTTTCTGGGCATGTGCACAGCCATGCACACATGCACACCCCTTTAAATTCTCAGGCATATGTCAGAGCTTTTCAAAGCCCCCCTTTGGAGATCTTATTCCTAAATCTTTCTTTTATGATTTTGGCCAGCCTCTTATTTGCCCCAACTGATATGGCAGCCTCAGGCAGCTGTGTTACTACATAGTTTCTGCTCATTGTTTTTGACAAATACCTTGGGTGGTAGGACTTTTCCTTCAGAGAGAACTCTGAGTCAAGTCAAATAACTACTACACTCTGCGGAGGAGGCTTGGCCAGGGACCTTGCAAGACGTATATCAAGTAGTGACAGTGTTCTGGGGTGGTACTTTTTGAGGAGCTCCAAACCTGGTCTGCCCCTCCAGTGGCTGCAAGGCTGCTGTTTTTCAGTGATACTGTAGAGCTGGGGAAAGGGTGTTGGCAGTAGACCGATGCTGCAAATCCTGCTGTTCTTCCAGAGATTCAGTAGTTTTTCTTGGGTGAATGCTTCTCAGATGCTTGCAAGCCTTTTGTTAATTTTCAGTTGTGAAAATATTTATTTTGACTATTTTTGCCACTGTTTTCATTACTTTTTGGAGACGATATATGGAGGTCCTTCTTCTGCCACTCCTGAAGTCCCACTCCTAAATGCAACATTTTAAACTATGCCCCAAGACACTTTAGGCACTTTTCTTTTTTCATTGTCATCAGCCCTTTTTCATTCTCTCCAGTGTACTTTAATGGAAGAAGTTCAAGACTGAAATTAGAATATTGGAGTTTGAATCTCCACTATGCCACTTAGTTGCCATGTGACTTCTCTGGATCTGTTTCTTCTGATGTTAAAGGCAAAAATTACTATCTGCCATATTGGGTTTTAGTGAGGATCAAATAAATCAACATGTGTAAACTTATAGCCTGATACTTGTCACTTAATTGGCATTTAAAAAATGTTGGTTCATTCATCCATTCCTCCTTGAATCTGTCACCAGCTCAGCCAGCAGCCTAGAATAGACCACTGATGGCATTTTGACTCAGAGCCACAAAATTACTCTGGCTGGCTCTTTGATTCTACTGAATGTGACAGCAGGTAATTCATGCTCTGTGTCATCTGATGCAAAAAAAGGAAAAATAATTGGTAACCTCTAGCAAGTGGGAGTCAGCATGTGAGATGAAACCTGTTTACCATTCCTTTGTTAGACACTAGTACCAAGGGATGTTAAAAGATACTACACCAAAAAGGATTCCATGGTCAGGTATGCTTTTAAAATGCTGAACAAAACAAAGTTGTATGTGTAAAAGAGGCTTTACTGTTTTTATTTTGGTTTGGGTTGGTTGGTTTGTTTTTTAGGAGAGCAAAGATTATATCCAAATAATCATCACAGAGACAGCTGTTTTCATGGCACTTGAATCGATCAGGAATCCAATATCCTATCCCACCGTTTCTTAAAGCACATTCTACTTAGCCCTGGACTGTGCTCTGATGGGGGGAGAGGGGAACTGGTGATTTACATAGTCAGGGAGATTTGGGGAATGTGGCATAATATAGTCCCCTCCCAGAGAGTCACGAAACAATCATTAAAGGCTTTAAGACACCCTTTGATAAAGCAACGTGTATCACTTTAACTCAGCATTTAAATGCTACGTTAGACGATGGACTTCTTTTTGGTGATTTCCTGTTCATATCCCTCAGAACCAACCTTCAGTAAAGAGATCACAAATAGATTTTATCTCACATTCTGACTCCTGTTTGGTGGAGTACTGACTGAGAAAGATTCTGAAGCTGTGTGGGGCGGGCTCAGCGGGAAAAGTTTCAGTGATTGGCTGGCCATGGGGTTGGGCAGGCGGCTGGAGGAGCAGTGGGTGCAGTGGTCTCTTGTCTTCATGCCCGGTTCCTGGGACCCAGTATGGGACTTGTTGTCCTAGCAGTTAAATTCTAGTGCCGCATGGGTTCTGTGATTATGTACCTTCTGTTTACTGCTAGCATAAAAAGAATGCACATAATTAACTTGCATGAAGCTTATAAGTAATCAAGTAGTTTCAGAGAAAACCAAGTTTACAGTAAAATTTCAACTTAAACATACTCCTGTGAAAATTGAATGTGTCATCTATTTGTTTAATGTAAGGTTTACCACAAGTTACCTTTAAATCCTTGTTAAAATTTATTTTTTCTAAAATAATGCCATTTCACTTTCCATCTCCACCAATTTATTCCATGATAAAGTGTTACAGAATTTCATGATTATTAATGAGAACCGTTCATTTTATATAAATGTAGATTAAATCTGTATTTACATCAAGATACGTATTTTTAATTTTTGACAGCCATTTTATGTACATGTAATTTATTTCTTCTAAAAGCTGTCTCTAAAAATTTTGTTTTGTTTGAAATTTGGCTCAATCTCCGTATGATATGTATGATTTTTGTGTCTTTACATTTTAGTCTTCTCCAAAACAAAAAAGTTAGAAACTTTTTTTAGTATTTAGCTATTTTAAATTAAAATACACTCCCAGATAAATTAATGGACTTTTGCATATAGTACCTTTCCCTGGGTTAATATTTAACAGTGAACCTGACATGACCAGATTCTGATTTTATCCTTATTGTTGGCTTTGGAAGCCTGTAAAATAGTGTTTGTTTTGTGGTTGTTGAGAGTTATATAATACACATTGAATTTTCTGACAAATATATGTATTTTTTTGTGAGGGAGATTTACCCTGAGCTAACATCCATTGCCAATCCTCCTCTTTTTTTTTTTGCTTGAAGAAGAGTAGCCCTGAGCTAACATCTGTGCCAGTCTTCCTCTACTTTGTGTGTGAGATGCCTCCACAGCATGGCTGATGAGTGGAGCAGGTCCACACCCAGGATCCGAACCCAGAAATCCAGGCCACCAAAGTGGAGCACATGGAACTTTAACCACTTGGCCGTGGGCCGGCCCCACAAATATTGTTATTTTACAATGTTTTGTTCCTCTACTAAAAGTCTTGTATTGTGCCTTCTAACATACAGAGAGAAGAAATTGTCCTAATAGGAGGAGGCATTTAATAGTGGCGATTATAAATTGTATGCTTTAATGGCAGTTTTCTTTCTTGATCAGATGTAAGTTGAAGCTACAGCAGAAAACGATGTCTCTGTGGTCCTGGGTCAACCGGCCCAGTGAGCTGAGGAAGTTCACCAGTCCTCTCTTTGAAGCCAACAACCTTGTCATCTGGCCGTCAGTTGCTCCACAGAGTCTTCACCTGTGGGAAGGTAAGCCGTGCCCTCCTTGGCAAACTTTTTATTAATAGTCAAGGATGCTCTCTCGACTGCCCGTGAGTACATGCTGCTGTTGATATTTAAAGATAGTGAGGTGGACCTGACCCTCAGACCTGGGTGTAATTATTATTTTTTTCTCAATATAGGCATGGTTTTCTCTTTCATATCAGTTATCCAGTCACTTTTTTTTCAGTCCCCATTTGAGAAATTAACAGTGCTTATTTAGTGGATACTGCTGTTCATATTGGATATTTTCCCTATTAAGGGAAGATAAGAAGGAACATTACTTTTTTTTATTGCAATTAAAAAAAAACTTACCAACTTAACCATTTTTAAGTGTACAATTCAGTATTGTTAAGTATGTTCACAGTGTTGTGAAACAGATCTCCAGAACTTTTCATCCTGTGAGTCTGAAACTGTATACTCGTTAAGCAACTTCCCATTGCTCCTCTCTCCAGCCCCGGGCAACTACATTCTGCTTTCTGCCTCTATGAGTTTGACTGCTCTAGGTTCCTCATGTGAGTGGACTCATATAGTATTTGTCGTTTTGTGACTGGCTTCTATCTCTTAATGTACTCAGAGTTTATTCCTATTGTAGCATGTGACAGGATTTCCTTGCTTTTTAGGGTTGAATGATTTTCCATTATATAGATATAGCACGTTTTGTTTCCCCATTTATCCACTGATGTACACTTGGGTTGCTTCTACGTTTTGGCACATAGGTGTGCAAATATCTCTTCAAGATCCTGTCTTTCATTCTTTTGGGTCTGTACCCAGAAGTGGGATTGCTGGGTCATATGATAATTCTGTGTTTAACTTTGTGAGGAACCTCCATGCTGTTCTCCGTAACAGTTGCACCATTTTCCCATCCGATCAGCAGTGCACAGGGTTTCAATTTCTCCACGTCCTTGCCGACACTTGTTAATTTCTGGGTTTTCCCCTTTGGTAGTGGCTGTCTTAATGGGTGTGAGGGAAGGTGCATTACTTTTTGTGTGAGAAAGTTGGTAGGTTCCTGGGACAGGAATAAATTGTAAGCTCCCAGGAGATGGTTTTTATCTGTTTCCTTTACTAGACGGTCGTTAGGATCAGTTCTTCTGTTAAATGTTGTTGAAGGATTACATGAGCTGGTCATTAGTGAGCTTCTGTAAATGTGCGCAAATGCCAGCCATCAATGCAGTGATGCAGATATCTCATTGTTCATGTGGAACAATAATCCATGCTTAATTTTCAAATCTATTCTAAAGAAGGCGTTTTACCTGCAATAAATTTTCACACTCCTGAAGCTTATCTCCTTAAATACCAAAGCTTGATTTTTTTTTTCCCCAAAGATTTTATTTTTTCCTTTTTCTCCCCAAAGCCCCCTGGTACATAGTTGTCTATTCTTCGTTGTGGGTTCTTCTAGTTGTGGCATGTGGGACGCTGCCTCAGCGTGGTCTGATGAGCAGTGCCATGTCCGCGCCCAGGATTCGAACCAACGAAACACCGGGCCGCCTGCAACGGAGCGCCCGAACTTAACCACTCGGCCACTGGGCCAGCCCCCCAAAGCTTGATTTTTAAAAGAAAAACAAAAATCTATCTAAAACAGTCTAGCCATTCATTAAACAAAGACTATAAATATCATTTAATTTCATTTTAGTCATTTTGAGGGTAGTCAGCACATCTTTATTCATCTTTGTATTAAACAGTGTCAGGTATCCACACAGGAATGGTAGCTGTTTGGTAAATTGAACTGAATTAGCACAAATGTCAGTTATTGTACTGTGTTCTAATATGTTATCCCTCAAGAGCAACTCACGTGAGGAAAACTGTTTGCCCTTTACGTGTAAAAGGGTCTCAGATTGCTTTGCTTTCCCAGTTTGAAACTGAGTCTTTTTCTGTCACTTCTCTGGATGTCAGCTCTCACATCTTGTTCCTCTTGGTGTATCTATCATTAGCTGCTTCCTTCTCCCTCAGGTTACGCTTTAATCTTCTCTTCTGAGATGTCCCTTCATTAGAATTGTGGGAAAATAAAATAGCCTTGGATGGTCTGGAGGTTCTCTGAGCCTGCACGTTAGTGCTGTGGGAATTTTGGGCTGCTTAGAACTTCTCCTTGCTTGCTTTCTTGATTGTTGTAGATGATCATAGGCACAGGATAAATGGTCTCTTAAATGAGAGATTATGGCTATGCTTCTTGTTTAAGACTTATGGGACAGTTCACTTAAAAGCCACTGTCATGTTTAATAGCTGAAATGAGAGACTCGCTACTTGAGGGAAAAGCCCCATTTGGGAGCTCGATGGCCTGAAGGCTGATTTAACTAGTTTTTACCAAACCTCATTGAGAGTTCAGGGATTAAGTGGTAGAAGGAAATCTTTGTGGTTACATGAATGAACCCCTGCCATTCCCTCGGGAATAGACTGTCCGTGTTTGTTTAGTGCCTCCTCAGCTGAGAACTGGAACTGGCAGAAATTCTACCTTAGATAAAATATTCTCGTAGGTATATGGATTGCACAGTGATACTACTCTCTAGCTTAAAATGTCTCTCTGCTGTTCATATTTACGTCATAGTTCACCATTAATATTAGGTAATTCTTGTATTGAAGAACAGGATTTTAAAAATAGGTTCACATAGTAGCAAAATCAACACAGATCAGTCAGTCTTTATGTTTCTGTTTTCCTTTTCTGATAGAGAGTAGCATTTGGGCGTATACAGAAGGACTCTTTAGGGCCCAGGGCAGTTTGGTTTCTAGAAAGTGTTTTAATGAACATAAAACCTTTGTGGACTTGCCAGCTGCTGACATGTTGCAGCCTGAAAAGTTTTTGTACTTCCTTACTTGAATATCTTTAAGCAATTATTTTGGGATGATGTAGTTAATGCAGGTCTGTGTAGAGGAGAAAACGTCTCTGTTAGTCCATCATAGAAGGATAATTGTTTTTATTTGGGGAAAGAAGCAATTGCCTAGAGAATTGGAAGCCTGCCTCTTAAGTAAGAGAGAGGAGAGTGCTGAAGTTTAGGCTTTTACATAATAATTTATGTGGTTCTGTTTTTACAGTCACTGTTACTTTTCCAGTGAAAATGATTTCACACCTGTGGGAAGTCTTACCAATCTGGCTAAAGTTCTATAATTGTGGAAAAAAAATGTATTGTGAAACTAGCATTATAAATTAGCTTGTTTTCCTGAGTATATCACAGAACAGTGTTTTGATCTATTTAATAATTTTGTGGCGTTTTTTAAAGAATTAATGAGTATGTACATAGAAATAGGGACTTACTGAATACTGGTTTTTTGTTTTGTTTTGTTTTGCTGAGGAAGGTTCACCCTGGGCTAACATCTATTGCCAGTCTTCCTCTTTTTGATGAAGAAGATTCACCCTGAGCTAACATCTGTTAGTCTTTCTCTATTTTGTGTGTGAGCCACCGCCACAGTGTGGCCACTGATAGATGAGTGGTGTGAGTTGGCGCCCAGGAACCAGACCCGGGCTGCTGAAGCAGAGCTTGCCAAACTTAACCACTAGGCCACTGGGGCTGGTCCCCTGAATGCTGTATTTAATTGCACTCTTTTGGTACCTCAAGATTCCTATATATTTTAGCACATAATAAAACATAGATTGTGCATTGTGAAACAAAAGAAAAAATAATGTATAATGCATGGAATTATATATTATCCACAAGTATAATATTAATCCATTGTATGTATCTTTCTCCCTCCTCTTCTCCTTTCCTGGGTTCAATAGGTATTTTCTTACGTTGGAACAGATCCTCCAAGTATTTGGATGAAGCATATGAAGAAATGGTTAACATCATTGAATATAACAAGGAATTACAAGCAAAAGTAAATATCCTTAGGAGGCAGTTGGCAGAATTGGAAACTGAGGATGGGATGCAGGAGAGTCCCTGAAAGATCGCCCCCCGACACTCTTCAGAAGGACCTTCCCGGACCTGTATCCCACCTCTTTCTCCTTTTGCCCTTCAGTTCACTTTTACACAATAGCCTTGAACGTAAGGCTTTGGATGTGGGAACCTCTAGTGTAATGGATTTCTCAATACTTTATGAAAGAAACTTACTGTAATTACTCATGTTTCACGTGGCCTGTTAGGCCTCTTCATTTTGGGAGCAGGAAGGAGGTGCTAGTCATTTTATTTTATGTGAAACAGATGACCTGTTTAATGCCATTCGTGTTATACACCATTTCATCATAAGCTTTTCTCTGTGTTCACTTTCTAAACAGTGCTCCACACCAGTCAAGGGTACATGATTAATCTCTTTAGGGAGTATTTGTTGGTTAAAACACGATCAGACTTTTAACCATTCTGAATATAGAAATATTTTTCAAACCTGAAATGGTTGGTAAACCAAGAATTTCCTGTTTAACATGTCATTTCCAGTATCTTTGCCACATAAAATAGTCATTCTCTTTAAAATAGTCTTGGACTAACGAAGCTGAATTCATTCTCATTCTGGTTTGTCAAGAAAGGAAAATCTGAATATTTATTCAAGGTAAATTATTTTTACAAGGGCAACAGGTATAGTCTTCTGATATTTACATTAAGAAGAGGTAAATTTATTTTAACAGTAGACACTAAAAGTATGTGCAATATAGAAATCAAGTAGGAATTTGTTACTGATATGATATCGTTACTGTTGAATTGGTTTTTCAGGTTTTTGACCATAACTATTAAATGTGTATCAAATGCTGGATATAACATTAAACCATCATTTACAATAGATGTTAATTTGTTACAGTTAAGCTACAAATATGGTTTCCTTAAACCAGAGATGCACTCCCCTTGTCTGAAGTTCTTATTGCTCTGGTTTCTGTAAGTATGTGTGTGTTATACTGTGTTCTAAGTATTCTAAGAGTTTACTAATACTAAGGTTAAAACTTTCATGGTGGCTTGAGCCTTTTGAAAATTTATCTTGACTCTGCTGATTTGTCTATTATATGTTAGGCAAATATAATTTAAGCAGAGGTGAAAGTTTATGAACATGATGCAGCTATGTTTTAAACTTCAGAAACAGATTTGAAGTGGTTCGATGTTAGAGAAACAGTGATGACTATATTTACGCTATGCTGGTTTATGCCCACAGCTCTGAAAGGTTGCGGTTGAGTGCTTTTCATGTATGTTTCTGTTTTGTGACACTTCTCATTTTAACAAATACTATCAATTCTAGTTTTCCTTTAAAAGGATAGTTGAAGAGTAATCTTTAATACCATTCCCCCCCATCTGTACATAACCATTTCAGAGTGAAGCACACCAAAACTGAACCCTGCTTTAGAGCTATGTATTGAGCTAAAAATATAATTTTTAAAAATTGACTCTAGCAAAATTTATGACCACGTTAAGAAGCCTTGGAAAGTGGCAAATACTTTCCGTCTCTAGTTGCCTACGCTTTATCTTTTTTCTGTTTCCTCAGACTTGTAGCAGAAGGCTAGACAACAATCCACAGTCAGCTCGCTTTTGGTCCATTTGCCTGCCTTCTCCTCTAAGCTTGGTTTTTGCCTTGACTGTGGTTATGAATCTCAGGGCGTTAAAGCCCTCACCAGAAGGCTAGTAAGCAAGGAGCAGAGGAGACGTTGTCTTGCTATAGATATCTCTGTGTCGTGTGAAATATCTATAGTAATTTTTTAAAAGGGGAAATACTGTAGCTTTTTTATGGCCTGTCGAAATTGTTCTGCATTTGTTCACGCAGTTGACCTTTTTATTTTCTCCTATTTTTGTCTCAAGACTAGATAGGAAGAAGGAGCTTTTTTCTTCTCAGTTAACAGACCCATAAGGAAAACCATCTAGAGATTTCTTTCGTGGTTCTTTAGAAGTGACTCTCGCTGGTGGTGTTGGTTGGCCGTAGGCTCCCTGGGTGGGAACTTTGGAGGGTGTTTTCATAGGTGTGGTCATGGAGAGACTCTATGCCATCACTTTATCCCCATCTTCCTGATGAACATTTTCTGTGCGAGCCAGAGTACAATAGTAGCATAGTGTTTCAGTTTCTTTTCTTTCTCTTATTGGGACAGCAGTCTTAAGCTATTTGGACAAGTTTGCATTTTAGTATTAATTTATAATTAGAGATTGTCCAAACGTCAGTTCTGTTTATAGATTGTAAAAACAAACTTTGGTATCAATGCACTTTTAAAGGAGTCATCTAATGCAAATATTAGGGTCTTCCCAATCTCTAAAACTCTGTCAAAAACAAGTGCACTATCAATATAACTTGAAGAGGGTTTTTACTAATATTATTAAGTTACCCATCCCTTGGATGAGAAGAATACATACAGTGGATGTACGCATGAGAAGATACTTGTTAAACATTACGTTTGGAGAATTGCCATTGACTTTAAAAACTTTAATGAAGAAAATTGTGGCAGAAAGTGAGCAAGTAAATTGCCCCATAGGTGCCAATAATAATCAAGTGAGAATAATCAAGTTCATGTATATTAGGCATCTTCCATATTCATTTATGGTGAAGGCTGGTTTACCTTTTGGGATGCAAAAAGTAGGCCCCACAAAGAATATTTTAAAAATAAAAAGGATTACTACAGTCCTCTATCAGCAATACAAGGATCCTTAGATTTAAATTAATAATTTTTTAAGAATCAGAAGAACACAGTTGGTTGATTATATAAAAATGCTGTAACTTTTTGGGTGGTAATACTTTTTAATAATTAATTGGTCAAAATTTTTCATTTTGATTTCATTAAATGGGAATAAAACAGCAGAAATTCTAAAATTTAATAGGTGTAAAACAACCTATAAATGTATTTTATTTCTGAGAAAAATTAGGCCTTTGAAGCAAGATTTTAAAGCAATTTTCAGGAAAACTTTGAAAGACAACAGACAGTCATTTCAGATCCTATCTGGGGAATTTAAAAACCTTTCTTTGAACTCTGAAGCCTGATTTACAGAGGTGATGTCATTGCTTTTCATTTCAAAGGATGAAGTTTAGTGAGATTTTAGTCTTTGATTCAGTCAGAATTTATAGTAAATAAAAATCAATATCATGGAAAAGATTTGACCAGTAGTTGTCTCTTGAAGTGAAAAATAGGAGGAACATTTTGCTGCATTTTAAGAAATCTGCTTAAAGGTGTGACTCTTGTAGGTGATCTGGTTTCAGGATTAGCTGTTTGAATTGTCAGTCTTCACTAGGTCATCAGGGTCACTTAGTATCAGACTTTAACCTAAGCAAAAGTTTTGATATCTACCCATCTCCAGTTTTAATGAATGAAAACTGCATGAGGATATTATGAGCACTCTTTATCAGAAAGTTATTTCCTGGACAAAAAAAATGGGCACTTTTTAGAATAGTTGACCCCTGTTCTGGCAGCTTTGAAATCTACCGGAGAATGAAGTCATTCAGCACGTCTGATACAGGTTTCTGCTATACCTCAAGACAACATAGATTCCTTATTGCTTGCTCTTTAACACGGGTCAGATCTTTTCCCCCTCCAGAGCTGGTATCTTAAGTGATTATCAAATAGTGTTTTTATGTAATTCAGCATCTTAACAAAAAACATTAAAAAGACTGATTTCTCCATTAATGTTTATTCCAGATGATATGAAATGCTAATTTTCTTGCAGTATCAGTTTTCTAATTTTTGTTTTCTTGAATAAAACTACTTCTACCTTCACTCAGTCTGTGTAATCTAGTGTCCACAGCATCTTCTTCCTTTAAACCAATAGCCCAGAGGAGACCCTCTGAAACTCTAGGACTAGGTTTCAGAAAGTCTAAACTTGTTATCCAAATTCCCTTCAAGAAACCCAACTTCCTGTTTTTGAGCTACCCTGCAGAAGTGTAGTTTCTGCTTAATTTACTGAAAGATAGTGGGGCTCACTGTAGACACTACATTATCCTGAAAAATAATTCCTGCTAAGAGCTTACTGACTTTTAGACCATTCTGTTGAACTATCTGTGGATACACAGATTAACTGTATTTGTGATTTGTAATAAAAACAAGTTGTGCAACACTGCCTGTGTCTGTCTGCCCAGGACACTTGCTTCACTTGTAAAATGCACATGTCTTTGGAGAGGATTATTCTACACAAGTACACCCTGAGTTTCATCCTTCAGAATCCTCTTAGATCGATTACCATCTACACTAAAAATGTTGTACTTGCACAACTTAGTTGTATAAGAAAAAAAAGAATATGTATTTCTTCAATAGCTGGGTATTTGGATTGTACTCTTGATATATTTGAATGTGACTCTTGGATTTAAGTGCACTATTATTCATGTCTTACACAATAAAATTGCACTGTATGGCAGATGTGTCTGTGATGTATGCTTTGCTAAAACCTCAGAGTGCTGGAAGTACAGGTTTCTGTGTTGTGAACCTGTCTGTATATAGTCTTAGGGAAAAATTCTGAACTTTTTAAAGTCTATGTAACATTTTAATATTATTTGTAATGTTCCCTAAGTGGTTAGTTCACCTCTGTCCTAAAACTGGAATCATTCATCTTGAGTTGGCTGCTTTGTCAAGCTTGGTTTACTGAATGAAGAAACAGTCATCTCGAACGCGGTACTGTTATCTTAGTGTGTAAGATTTGTCTGTGGTGTTCCCCCTCTGCTTCAGAGGACTGTTGCACAGATACTAGTGTTAAATTTCTATAGACAATGGTAATAAAATTTGAATATATTCAAGTGCTGGTAAGTCTGTAGGCTGATTTTAATTTTTTCAAATATTTGTGAAGGTTTTGGCAGTGTCTCAATTAAAACTGCTGTATATATTTTGAATAAATTTAGGTCAGCAAAAAAGTTGCAAAATACTGCAATGATCTCCTATATACTGTGCACCTAGATTGTGTAATCCTTAACATTTTTTCACATTTAACTTAACACTCTTGAGTGTGTGTGTATTATTACTGCTATTTTGCTGAAACATTTGAGGTAAGCTGCAGACATCATAAACTTTCCACCTAAATATTTCACAGGTATCTCCCAAGAATTACAAGTATATATTATACATAATGTGTACTCAATATGTATTGATATCAATAAATCAGTGAAGGAAAAGGGAAAGCCCTTCTTTTGAGTAGATTGCCAACTATGAAATGTAGAATGATGAAATTAGAAAGTCACTATTTGGCAATAATCGCAGTAATAATTGATCCAGGAGTCATCATCACTTACTAAATCATCATCAGATACTAAAACTAGCATGAAAGTTTGTAAGGAAAAGCATATAGTCTCAAAGTATCTGTCCATAAAATACTTCTTAGTTACAAAGGGGAAAACAGTAACTTTACAGTGAAGGAACCTGGTAGATACTACCTTATCCAAGCGTAATTAGCATGACTAGTAATGGGACATAGCAACATCATGTACCTTCTGATATAATCCACTGAGAACACAGTGCCACTTTTGTAACATTTTTGCAAAAACAACCTATATCTAAAGGAAGCATCTGGCAAACTTAAATTGAGGGACAGTCTACAAAACAACTGGTCTGTATTCTTTAGAGAAATAATGAAGCTTATAGAAGAAAAGGAAAGACTGACAACCTTTTTTAGGTTTGAAATTATTTATTTGTTTTTGCTGAGGAACATTCACCCTGAGCTAATGTTGATTGCCAATGTTCCTCTTTTTGTATGTGAGCTGCCACCACAGCATGGCCACTGACAGACAAGTGGTGTAGGTCCACGCCCAGGAACAACCCAGGCTGCTGAAGTGGAGCATGCTGAACTTAACCACTAGGCAACTGGGGCTGGCCCTCAGGAAATTTTTTAAAGCACAAAGTGAACAGAAAACAGCAGATGGCATCCATACAAAGCTATAAAATTAACATGAGAATCAAAATATTTCAGCTGATGAAAATTATCCCCCAATAAATGAAGCGTTAAACAGAAGAAACTGTAACAAACATTCCAAAAGGAATAAATAACTTTAAACAAAACTTCCAGGTAATGATATGTAAAAAAAAAAAAACATCTCAAATGAGAAATTACAAAACTCAACAGAAATAGACCAAAAATAAAACAGGAAGGTAGAAAAGAGTTGAATGAACTCAGGAAAGAATATAAGGAATAAAGACAAAGTCATCTTGAGAATAAAATTACAAGATACTCAAGGGAGAACATGTGCAACAGAAAATTTATTAAAGAGTGTTGAAGAAAAGCATGAAAGGCTAAGACTGGAAATAAAGATAATAAGCCAAAAGGGTCACAGAGAAAGTTATCCACACCAGGAACACACAAAAAAGAGCCAATGTATGAGTAATTTGAGTCTCTGAAGAAGAACAACAAAGTAATGGAAGAGAACTAACATTTAAACCTATAATCCAAGAAAAGTTTCCACAAATAAAAGCCTGAGTGGAATTGGATCAAGATCGGTCAATTCCAAGACATGTCCTAATAAAATCCTAGACTTTAAGTATGAAAAGCAAAAAAGTCCCCAGGGCCTCTAGGTAAAAAGAATCACTTAAAATCAGGTCGCCATTAGAATTCTGAACAACGACATAACCAAGGAAGAATAAGGAGAACAGCATTTTCAAGAAATACAAAGAAAAAAGTATGAGTCAAGGATTTTATATTGAGCCAACCCGTACTTTAGGAATCAAAGCTGGTGAAAAGTTTTTAAGCATGCAAGAACTCAGCAAATGCTGTAGTCAAGAGCACTTCCTGAGAAATCTGTGAAAGGATGAGCTTCATCCAATTAAGAGATGACGGGGAAAACTATAGCTTAGGACTCTGAATATATTTAACTGTAGATCCAAGACTAAGATGAAGGTAGAGACAAGAGTGGAAGAAAATTATGTAGAAATTACATATTTTGACAAAGTAGACATAATGTAATTTTTAAAAAGAGAAAAAAAGAATAGCTCATTGACTGTCACTTAAGTAATGCAAGTCAAAGATATCATTTAAACCTAATAAATCAAATTGTATAGAATGTTAAGTGAGGACAAAGGTGTCCATGTTCACCTTTATAAATAGTGTTTTAAAGATGCCACTAGAAAAAAATCCAAATCTTTTTATATCCAATGAAATAAAAACTCCAAAGGAACAACATAAAGAAATACAGTAAATATAATACACACAGTAAATAAAACTATGACAGTTGAAACCAAACATCAGACATATCAATAAATATGAATGGGGTTGACTCATCTATTTAAAGGAAAGATCTTCAAATTGGCTTATAAAGCAAAACTCAACTCTATGCTGTATACTGCAGAGAAAATTAAAACAAAGTGACTCAGGTTAAAAAAAGAGAATAGTGTGCCAGTCAGGGTTTAATATATTACAAAGCCACAGTAATCAAAGCAGTGCAGTACTTGCATAAACACAGACATAAAGAGCAATGGAACAGAATAAAGAGCCCAGAAATAAACCCTTGTGTATATCATCAAATGATCTTCAAGAAGGGTGCCAAGACCACAGAATGGGGAAAGGACAGTCCCTTCAAAAAATGATATAGAGAAAACTAGATAGCCGCATGTGAAGGAATGAAGTTGGAGCATTACCTTATACCTATACAAAATTAACTCAGAATGGATTAAAGATGTAACATAAGACCTAAAATAATAAAACTCATAGAAGAAAACATAGAGGAAAATCTTCCTGACCTCGGATTTGGCAATGATTTCTTGGATGTCACACCAAAAGCACAGGCAACAAAAGCAAAAAGAGACAAACGAGATTACATCAAACTTAAAAACTTCTGCACATCAAAGGAAACTACAGAGTGAAGCAGAAATGTACACAATGAGAAAAAGGATTTGTAAATGATATATTTAACAAGGGGTTAATATCCAGAATATTTAAAGAACTCCTACAACTCAGCAACAAAAATCCAAATAACTAGATTTCAAAATGAGCAAAGGACTTAAATAGACATTTCTCCAAAGAAGATGTACAAATGGCTAACAAGCCTATGAAAAGATATTTAACGCTACTAATCATTAGGGAAATACAAATCAAAACCACAGTGAGATATCATCTCATACCCATTAAGATGGCCACTATCAGAAAAACAAAAAATAAGTGTTGAGTATATGGAGAAACTGGAACCCTTATGTACGGTTGGTGGGAATGCAAAATGATGAAGCCACTATGAAAAACAGCATGGCAGTTCCTCAAAAAATTAAAAATAGAATTACCATGTGATCCAGCAATCCCACTTTTGGGTATTTATTGAAAAGAATTGAAAGCAAGATCTCAAAAAGATATTTGCACACCCATATTCATTTCAGCAATATTCACAATAGCCAAGCAACCTAGATACCCACCAATGGATGAATGGATAAACAAAATGTGGTATATACATATAATGGAATATTATTCAGCCTTGAAAAAAGAGGAATTCCTGCCGTATGCCACAACATGGATGAACCTTGAAGACATTATGCTAAGTGAAATAAGCCAGTCACAAAAAGACAAGCACTGTGATTTCACTTACCTAAGCTATCTAAAGCAGTCAAATGTGTAAAAACAGAATGTAGAATGGTGGTTTCCAGAGGCTGGGGGGAGGGGAAAATAGGGAATTATTGTTCAAATGGCTATAGAGTTTCAGTTTTGCAAGATTTTGAAAAAGTTCAATATTGTTAAGTATATTCACAACAATGCAAATATACTTAACTGTACACTTAAAAATGGTTAAGATGGTAAATTTTATGTTTTTCATCACTATTAAAAATAATTATAAAATAATGTGAGTTTAATACACCTACTTTCCAATTTTTAAATATTTTTTATACTACTGTAATGTTCAGGAAAAAATAAGCCATTGAAAAAGCATATACAGTGACATCAGCAAACTGATAAAAAAGGCAGATCCAACCTCTTATCCACACACAGAAACATCAAAAAACAAACTTCAGAACCAAGTTTGTCAGAACTCTGGAAAACAGTCAAAGTTTACAGCAACCAAGCAAATGCTGAATAAATTGAAAGGCAACTTGAAAACCATAGGAAAACGTTGTGGCATTTTTACCTGTATTTCACCTGTGGCATTTTGTCCTACCCCTTCTCCAGCACAGTCACGGTGTTTAAACAGTGCCAGCCAGTGTTACCATTGTGGACCCATGGTGTGAGGTTCTGAAAGGAGTGGAGCAGACCTTAGTCAAAAATTATTGCTTATGTTTGTTGTAACCTGTCTAAGGAATACCTAAAGGACTGACAGAAGGTGTTTATCTCTGTTTCACCTAACTCAGAGATCAGGCTGAAAAGGCAGTGGACTTTGATTGCAAATATTTCAAGGAGAACTAACAACCGACAAACAGCTGGGCAAAACACTATAGTCAAGATATATAATAGTCAAGATACCTAAGGCCTGGGAGGAAAAGCTGGGGGAGATTCTTTGGGAAATTAAGACATTCAAAAGAACTCATGTGTATGGGGTAATTTAGAGGGCCACAAATATGCATAGGTTAAGATGCATGCTTAGAAAAGTGTTGAGAAGACCCTAAGTTTTCACTTAGGAGTGATCCCCAGGGTCAATGCAAGCCTAGTGTTGAAGGAGAACCCCAACACAGAACTGATCTGCAAAGACTGGAAAAGGTGTTTTTTGTTTGCATTTTTAGTTATTTTTGTTAAACTTCTGGTATTCAAAGAAATCTCTGCCAAAACATAAGATGAACACAACCTGAAGGAACAGAGACCTTAGTGACCACACATGACAGGGAATATAATCTTTGCAAAAATAGTTT